TCCACTCTTCAGTTGAGGGGCATCGAGGTTGCTTCCAGGTTCTGGCTATTACAAACAATGCTGCTATGAACATAGCTGAATAGATGTGCTTATGTTATGAATGTGCCTCTTTTGGGTATATGCCCAAGAGTGAAATTGCTGGATCTTGTGGTAGATTGATTCCCATTTTCCTGAGAAACAGCCATACTGATTTCCAAGGTGGCTGTGTAAGTTTGCACTCCCACCAGCAATGGAGGAGTGTTCCCTTTTCTCCACATCCTCTACAGCATAGTTTTTAACTCAGTTTAATTCATCTAAATGTAGCCTTTTTTTTCATACACAAGTATCGTTTTCCATGCCCACACTTGCAAACTTTGTCTTTAAGAGCGAAGTGAGCTGCTCACAGGTTGATGAAGCTGAGTATCGTTTGAAGGTGTGTATCAGTCTGCGCATGTGCATGTGAAGGTGGGAAGCTACTTTTGGGTGACCTCTACTACTCTCCCACTGAACCTAGAGCTCACCTCTTTGGGTAGACTGGCTGGCTAAGCTGCAGGGACCTCCTGTGTCTCTGGTCCCCAGCACTGGGGTTATGGGGTGCACACTGCTACCCCAGCTCTTATGTGGGGGCTGGGCATCAAACTCCAGTCCTGGTGCTTACACAAAGATCTGTGTACCCACTGAGCATCTCCCAGCCAGTCACTGATTTTGACTCGAGGTTTCAATCAACTTATATTTATTTATTAAATATATTCAAAGTTGCTCATCCTCATCTTTTTTTTTTTTTTTTTTTTTTTTTAAAGACGGGTCTCTGTGTCGCCTTGGCTGTCCTGGAACTCGCTCTGTAGACCAGGCTGGCCTTGAACTCATAGACCTGCCTGCCTCTGCCTCCTGAATGGTGGAATTAAAGGTGTGCTCCACCGCCGTCCTCCTATCTTCTCTGCTCTTAACACCTGAAATGCTTCAAAAATCTGAAACTCCCGGGTGATGACCTGATGATGTCATATTTCCATACCCGACCCCCTGTGTTCAGTCAAAATGAAGGCACACTAAAAATGCCACATAAATAACCTGTCGGCTAGTGGTTAAGATTCATATGCATATTTGCACAAACTAGACAGCTTCTGTCCCTAAGACACCTCGCTTGCACATGTAGGTACTCTGAGACACTTCTGTAGCATTTCAGGTCAGATACTGAACCTGTGTTCACAGGCAAGAATTGTGTTCTTATTTAGGTCCCGCAAATCCGCTGGCTATCTCCTGTGACTGGGCCATCTTCTATGCCAGCAATGGTAATGTACCCATTGGCCATTATATATTACATAACCCAGTGGTTATTTTTAGGAAATAACAACTTTGTGTAAACTACTCTGGACTTTTACCATACCCTTGCCATTTTTATTGCTCATCATAATTCATCCCCTGAAGTCATGCACCCACAAACAGTAGTGCAGAAGCTGTCACCATAAACGCCTCATCTTCCTATGCCCATGCTAAAGCCAGATGCCTCCCACAGCACTCCGCCAGCCGCCCCCCTTGAGCACCCGTGGTGTAATAATGGCCACCACCTACACGTGTGCAGAGGCAAGTCTCCATCTCTGTGGCTGAAGGACAGCTTTGCCCCTGAGCGCTGACAAGGTCACAGCACCCCACTAGCGTGTCAGGCTTCCACTGAAATCTTGATGGTGAAACTGGAACCTTTTGTGTGGTATTGCGCATCTTTTTCTTGTTGAGTTCAGGATCCTGTCAGTGTTTGGCGCCATTTGAGCCAGATTTGAGCCATTTCTTGCTGTTATTCCTTTAAGTAGTTTTTCTTACTTTAATACTGTATGCTGTATTTTCACTTGTGACACTGGCTCATAAGTGGTGTGGGATCGCATTTCGTAACATCTTTTTCCTCTGGTGACTGTGTACTTTGCTGTCCCTACCTGGGCTTAGCCCACAAGTGTTCGCATTGTACTAGGAAGGCATTGTAAGTACCCCAGTGATGATTTTAAGTGGATTTTGGTATCTTTTGGAGTCCTGGATCCAGTTGCCTGCAGATACCACAAAACAGTTTCCCCTGTGATGCCCTGCCCCACCATGGGACCAAAAGCAGGCAAGCAGCCAACCAATCACAGATGAACACTCCCCCAACTTAGGCAAGAAACACTTTTTATAGGCCGAATATCAAGCTATTTTATTACAGTAACGTAAAGCAGACTTACCACACCATTGTATTCCAATTTTCATTTTGTTCCTCATTTCATTTTGTTGAACTGTGTTATCTTCTGATGTTTAATTTTCCTTAAAATGATTGATCATCCAGAATTGTTTTTATATGTTAATAGTTCGGAGCTCTCGAGCTACTGGGATGTTGTTGGCTGGTGTTCGTGTCTCCTTGAGCTCTTATTTCTTGTTGATTTCTGTGCATTTAGTGGTACTGTCACTTTTAGGATGGCTTTGGGACAAAGGACTTACTTGGGGATGAAAAGGCACTGGTGAACACCCCTCTGCCATATACGGAAGTGATGGGGGAAGTTCTGTGTGTATGCCTGTCTTATTGATTGATAAAGCACTGTTAGCCAACAGCAAAGCAACACAGGCGCGACTAGGAGTCGAGGAGGATTCTGGGAAATGTAGGAAAAGGGATAGGGTCGCCATGTGAACCCAAGAAGAGAGGACGCATGAGGCTGGCGCCCCCGGTAAGATAAGACCTTTATTAGTTATGGGCTAATATTTAAGACAGAACTAGCCTATGAGATGCCCCGACGTTGGCCGGCAGCACTGTAACTAATCGAGTCTCTGCGTGTCATTTGGGGTTGACGCGGCTCTGGGGCCAGGCTGGCGGGAAGAATGCTCGCTACGCAGGAGCATACACTGAAGGATCAGAACGGTAGGGTAGGATGGCAAAGAGCAAGTGTCAGGACCCTGGCGTTTGGGAACACGAGGGGAACGGGCCGTGCAGGAAGACTAAGGCACAAGGGAATGCGACAGGGGACAGCTCAATGCTTGTGCTACAGGGCGCGGTGCTGCATCGTGCTCTTGAAGAATGAAAAGTGCTCCTATGGGTTTTCCCTCAAGATTTAGTGTCTGGCCACAAGGGCTGAGACCCTGCAGGAGGAAGTCTAAGAGGGCATCTGGCTGCGTTACTGAAACTTACGAGGACAGTGGGCATTTAGATTCCTGCTAAGCTTGTTTATTGCTTCAAGAGAAAAATGCTGTAACAACATTGATGACCACTTTCATCCCAGAATCAGGAACTCTGCCTTCAATATTGCATGGGTTAAACTATGATACAATTACAGAGTATACAAGGTGTAGCCTGTTTTCAATAAATGGGCAGCCATCCTGATTCACCCTCAAAAAAAAAGAAGGAAGGAAAAAAGAAAAGGCAGGCAGGCAGGCAGAGAGACAGACAGACAGACAGGCAGGCAGAGAGACAGACAGACAGACAGGCAGACAGTCAGAGACACAGGCAGACAGGCAGACAGGCAGGCAAACAGACAGACAGGCAGAGAGACAGACAGGCTGAGCAGACAGACAGACAGACAGACAGACAGACAGACAGGCAGAGAGACAGACAGGCAGGCAGAGAGACAGACAGACAGACAGGCAGAGAGACAGACAGACAGACAGACAGACAGGCAGGCAGAGAGACAGACAGACAGACAGACAGACAGGCAGGCAGAGAGACAGGCAGGCAGACAGGCAGGCAGGCAGGCAGGCAGGCAGAGAGACAGACAGACAGACAGGCAGACAGTCAGAGACACAGGCAGACAGGCAGACAGGCAGGCAAACAGACAGACAGGCAGAGAGACAGACAGACAGGCAGGCAGGCAGGCAGGCAGGCAGAGAGACAGACAGGCAGGCAGACAGACAGACAGACAGGCAGAGAGACAGACAGACAGGCAGGCAGGCAGAGAGACAGGCAGGCAGACAGGCAGACAGGCAGGCCGACAGACAGACAGGCAGAGAGACAGGCAGGCAGGCAGGCAGACAGAGAGACAGACAGACAGGCAGACAGAGAGACAGACAGGCAGGCAGGCAGAGAGACAGACAGACAGACAGGCAGGCAGAGAGACAGACAGACAGACAGGCAGGCAGGCAGGCAGACAGACAGACAGGCAGGCAGGCAGGCAGGCAGGCAGGCAGGCAGACAGACAGACAGGCAGGCAGAGAGAGACAGGCAGGCGCCGGTGAGAGGTATAGTGACTTGGCGCCAGGGAGGGACAGCTGGCAGCTGAGGTAGTTTTGGCGGGCACTGTAAGGTCCCCAGACCTCTGCACTGAGTAGCTCAGGGTTTTGTGGGTCTCCGCTTGTGATGTCTGCTGGAGTCATTGTGTAACTGGGTCCAGCTTGCAGGTGATATCACCATATCTGAAGGGTGCTTGTGCAGTCTATGGACCCAGAGACTGAAGCGTGGGTTCTCAGATGGGGCCCCGTGACACGTTCACGTGACAGGCACACGGCTACTATGTTCCCTCTGGTGACCACATGAGCTAGCATTAGTAAACAGGCAGGCTACACCATGGCCTTCTAATCGCAGTGCTCACGTTGCATGTCTAGGCCTAGAGTCAGGTTGGAAGCATGGCCTCGTCTCAGTGACAGCTGGGCTGGCACTTTAAATGCACACGTGGCTTGAGGGTCCCTGGGGACGTCTCCCATGTGGGAAGCACAGGTAGGCACGGTGCAGCCTCGGAGCTTAGGTCTGGAGTGTTGGGAGTTGGTGCAGGGCCGGGAGAGATGGTGTCTGGTTCCTGGAGTCAACTGTCTGCTTTGGGGTGTGTGACGAGGCCTGCAGTCTCTGGTGGGAATGGATGGGTGCTAATCTGCCGCATAAGAAACTGCACCCAAGAACATTGAGACCCCAGTGGCAAGCTTTCAAAGCCTGTGCCAAGAAGTAGACATTTTTGTTGTGAAACTAAACTGTTCAAGGTGTGGCCTAGGTGTAACACCAGGCTTTTACTGTACAAGAAACAGGGTTATATACCGAATAAATAAAACAGGAAACTTCTGTACACATTCAATAAAACACTAAAATCTTTGAATGGAGAACGAATTTTATTCTAAAAATACATCTTAGTAGCAACAAAATACCAAAACTGGTCATTATAGAAAAAAGGGTAACGAGAGTTTGCTAATCTTTCCCCTGAAGATACAAAATTATCACACCAGAAAATATGTCACCAACTCTCATTTCTCTACCTTTGACTTACTCCTTTTATGGAGTTACTGAATTATTAAAGTCAGAGTAGCATAGTCTGGGGTCTATCTGAACATCTAGGATGTGTTATCTTAATCCGCACACTCTATAGGAAAGCTAGCAAAGACAAGCATTCGCTTAAGCCAGTCTTGGAAGACGTGGTCAATTTGCGCAGATTAAAAAGAAATCCCTTCGCTAAAGGTCCTGGCATTTGAAAGTAAACAAATTAGAAAAGCCGTAACATTACTTTCAACCCCAGAAACTAAGAGGCACATAAAGACAGTGCTTTAACAAAGTGGTTTCTATCTTCAAAGTGCTAGAGACAGGCAGTAAAGGACATCTTCGGCTGGCACTGTGAGGACCAGGAACATAGCAAACAAAACCATGTGAAACTTACAGCCCTCACCACCCAAACTACATTCTGAAGACACGCGGCCAATGAGAAAGCACTGGTTTCCTCTACGTGAACCAAGACAGTTTTGTGGACTCACCCCTACAGTTTCCCATCAGGCCAGCTCTGAAACTGGTCTACCCCATGGTCCATTTCCCTTCTTTCTGCACTAATGGAGATCTGAGCAGTCCATGGTGGCCCTAATATACAGCAAGTAGAAATGATTCTTATTTATACAAAAAAATTCTTGCTAGTTTGCCCTTTTTGAAAACCAGAAGCAGATTCAAAAAGTTACACTTACATTTTTAACTGTAACAGGTGTGCACTCATTAGGACATTTTTGGCTTATTTATACACTTTCAGGAATTGCTGTAATTTGCTTTGGCCCTCCACAATAGAAATATTAGTATTTTGTAACTAAACACCTCCTTTGTTAAACGTGACCCTGAGTTTGACCTGGAATATAAACTATAGAACTAAATACCACATGGGCTGCTGGAGGACCGGAAGCTGCTTTTCCTGCAAACACCAGGATGCAGCTCCCTTTCCAAAGGGATAAGGAAGCTGGAATTTACTCCAAAACACAGCTTATCATAAAAAGTCATTTTCTCAAATCTGAGTACACTGACAGTGTAAAAAAAATACAGCATCTCCACCCTGTGGGTTTTGGGGGGGGTTCATAGTCCCTGCTTTAGATAACAGCACATTTTGCCATCAATATAGACTTCTAAACACTGATTTGGAAATCATATAATGGGAACTTAAAAAAGGAAAGGATTTTTACACTCTATTACAAATTTCTACCCATGGGAAGCAGCTCTAAAGTCTCTAAAAAACACTGACTACAACTCAAATTGGCAGGCGCGTGTGAACGGGGTTCAAGCGCAGTGACAGGTCTCACGGCAGCCGGCTGCGTGTCCTGCACTGCCAGGCCTGCCACCGCAGCTTTTGAGAAGCGTGTCAAGCACTGCAGCTCGTCTAAGTCATACAGAGCGGAGAGACATCTGAGCAGCTGGAAACAAGTGCTCAGTGAAGTCCACGCTCCACAGTGCTCTGGCGGCCTTTAACACGGTGTTCGAGGGCTGTGTCGAAGTGCAAGTCCTCTCCAGATCAACCCTGACGGGAAACCCTGAAACGCCAACTCTTCCTTAAGGTGAGCTGGTTAGCTAGGCTGTGGAGCCCGAGGCGTGAGTCAGGGCGCACCCAGCTCTGAATGACACAGGAAGTGCAGCGCTCCATGGGACCCTGACCCTCAGGGACAGGGCCACGCGCGTACTCCTAAAGACAGGACTCGCCTTGCTGTGGCTTTCTAAAGCGAATGTAATCACTGGATAATCATCCGTTAGTTCCAAATATTCACTGAACCATCCAGACCATACCCTTTACCTTTAGTAATGAAGGATTTCCAGATATTTATGGAAAACACTGTTCATTTTATAAATGGCTTGCTTATACTATTTCCAAGAAAATAATATTTTGAGCTAATAAAAACCAAACTAATCGATAAGGCTGCAGTCTCTTCTTTCTTTGGCCAAGGGAGTACTTTAAATGATGGCATCATGTTCGTCACTGTAAGATATAGAAATTTTTAATTACTGTAAAATTATTGTTTGTAAGGAAAGTAACACTACAACAATTTCCATTTTCAAAATCAAAATTAATTACTGCTGCTCAGCATTAAGTTTTATGCGTACCCAGTACACTGCAGTGGTCGACATTGCCAAAGAGGCCCACAGGCAAACCCCTGTGACTTTTCTTAGGGCACACGTCATTATCTGCTCATGTACACTCGAGGGAAAAATTAGCCCGTAAAGGGTAAAGTTGGGAAGTTAGGCAACTCTAGCAACTTTAAAGTCTATGATCAAGTCATGGAACACCACACATGGCTTACAGAGCTGTGCACAGTAACTATTGCCAGGGAAAATTAAACAGAGGAGTTTCTTTTGTATCTGTGTCTGTCATAAAAAATAAAGACCACGTTTTTACCAAAAATACTCTTTGGTACCACAGGCATATACAGGGCATGTGGACTAAGTCCCTAGGCTGATGAGACCCGGTATGTCATTTCTCATGACGCACAGTAAGACCTCAAAAGGCGTTTGCTACATGCGGGTAGAGCAGTGTTTGATGGCAGGCAGAGCAGAACCATGCTCCCAGGCGTGCTGTCCTTTGTAAGTCTGCACACGAGCACAGCAGAAGTCTGTCCCTGGGAGGACCTGGTCTGACCCTGGTACTGGTCATGAGAAAGCCATGGAGAACGGTCAAACTTACATGCTTCGGTACCGGATGCCTCTCCTCGAGTAATACATTTTGCATCCAATGTAGAGAACAGACAGAACTCCCAGTGTTAACACTATTCCTCCAACAAAGCTGCCGGTGTCAAACTTTGATCCTTTACTTTTGTCAGAATGAGTAGTTGCTGTTACTGAAAGGAAACAAAACAGATGTCTGCATTTTAAAACAGTACACGTTCTGAAGTCTCAATGTCTGTGTAAGAATGCTGAGGTGGAGACGAGGGGAAGTTTGGGCACATAAGCTTCTGTATTTTTGCAGAATGGAATGCTGGCTTTAGCGTGGCATTTAACAACTGATTTACAGCACAGAAGGAGGAAGTAATTTTAATACATACTCGTTATAGATGTCTTCAAACTACTGTGGCCTGTGGTCATCATGGATGCTGACGTCTGGGTTGAGTTTGGAGAAGCACTTGCTTTGGGTGTAGACTTTGAGACAGTGGAAGTCATGTGTGGTGAGACCTCTGGTGTTGATATTTTAGCAATAGCTGTGGGTGTCACAGTGACAGCTGTGACATTTCTCGGCAGTCCTGTAGTTACAGTGCTGTTGTTAACCTCATTGGTCTGGTTGGAAGCCACGGTGATATTCTCTGGAAAAAATGCCAAGAATTTAACTGTTAGAATCCAGAGTAAAAGATCTCACACACCGTTACTTGTCTAGTAAGGGCAGCAGCAGGACAGCTGTGCCAACAATGGCACCCAAACTGTCAACCAAACCAGGCCTGTTTTTATACAGCAAGGAAGTTCTATAAGGATATAAAAAAGATACCCTGTAAGACTGAGCTGTGTCTGAATCTGAGAGTTGCACCAAGCTTCCTATTACAATTGTTTTACTTTTTTGCTTGTTTTTTTGGAGCCAGGCTGGCTTTAGGCTTGCGGCAATCACTGCAGCCTTCCTGAGTGCTGGGATTACAGGTCTCCTTATAACCTGCAACAAATCATTCCTTGTCTAGAGCAATCATGAAAGTGAAATGGTTTTTAAGTTTAAGGTTCTCTGCTACATTGTTTCGAGGACTCCGAGGACAGCCAGTAGCTGCAGATGTCCAAGCCTCAGAAGGATAAGAGCAAGCAGAGTTGTTCTTTAAAGGGGAAAGAACTCCCCGTGTTGACTCTGAATGCAAGGCCACCAGAGTTAGGTGGTCATTTGTGATTGTGAGGCCCACAGTAGAAGGATGTGTCTCAAAGCCAGTTCCCGAGTGGTGGTTTACAGTGCAGTCCCTCAGCTCACGCCCAGTTCGTATTTTAATATGAAATATTGTGTGCATAAAGAAGGGACAGAGATGTCAGTGTCCTCAAGTGAAACTCCCAAGCACAAATGTCTCTGTATGTCTTACTCAGTAGGTGTTTCCCTAGAGGGAGTGAGAACACTCCATGTGACCAGGACCAAGTCCTTCCACACTAACGCCCAAATGCTACCACTGAAGTTCTTGAGCTGCACTGTTACAGTGCACACGCGCGTGTGTGGTGGAGACCTGTGATGAGCTGCACTGTTACAGTGCACATCTGTGTGTGTGTGTGTGTGTGTGGAGATCTGTGATGAGCTGCGCTGTTACAGTGCACACGTGTGTGTGTATGTGTGTGTGTGGAGATCTGTGATGAGCTGCGCTGTTACAGTGCACACCTGTGTGTGTGTGTGTGTGTGTAGACCTGTGATGAGCTGCACTGTTACAGTGCACACCTGTGTGTGTGTGTGTGTGTGTGTGTGGAGACCTGTGATGAGCTGCACTGTTACAGTGCACACGTGTGTGTGTGTGTGTGTGTGGAGATCTGTGATGAGCTGCACTGTTGTTACAGTGCACACGTGTGTGTGTGTGTGTGTGTGTGTGTGTGTGGTGGAGACCTGTGATGAGCTGCAGTGTTCTTACAGTGCACACATGTGTGTGGAGACCTGTGATGAGCTGCACTGTTGTTACAGTGCACACGCGTGTGTGTGTGGTGGAGACCTGTGATGAGCTGCACCGTTACAGTGCACACGTGTGCGTGTGTGACCTGTGATGAGCTGCACTGTTAAAGTGCACACGTATGTGTGTGTGTGTGTGTGTGTTGGAGACCTGTGATGAGCTGCACCGTTACAGTGCACACGTGTGTGGAGACCTGTGGTGAGCTGCACTGTTGTTACAGTGCACACGTGTGTGTGTGTGTGTGTGTGTGTGTGTGGAGACCTGTGATGAGCTGCAGTGTTCTTACAGTGCACACGTATGTGTGGAGACCTGTGATGAGCTGCACTGTTGTTACAGTGCACACGCGTGTGTGGAGACCTGTGATGCAGCTTTGACTGCAGAAGACGGTGTAGTTAATTTCTGTGGTGGCTCTCTATCCCTGTTGCCCATTTTCTCCTCATAAACAGTAAAGATGGAGAAAGTTCATCACTGGGCGGGGCTTCTTGCCCTGTCAGCACGAAGGTCATTATTCCTTCTGTTGCTGTTATAAAGAGAAATTATGACTCCACACGTCACCACCCTTCTTCCACAACTCGTCTTAAAAGACTTGAGTATGTCAAGCTTTACTGTACAGGCTGGTTTTACGGGCACTGCTTCTCCACGCCCAGTTCTTAAATCCTGGGGCACCTGCTGGCTCATGACCTCACAACCTGGCTTCTCTACTGTGCTCTCTCCATGGGGTAGTAGCTAAGTTTTCTTTTATTTAAATTAGAAAGTCTTATTTTACATATCAATTCCAGTGCCTTTCCCATCCTTCCCTCCCCTCCACAGCCCCCCCATCCCTCTTCTGCTCCCTAGGGAGCGTGAGGCCTTCCATGGGGGATCATCCAAGTCTGTCACATCATTTGGGGCAGGGCCAAGACCCTCCCGTGTGTGTCTAGGCTGAGAGAGTATCTCTCCATGGGGAATGGGCTCCCAAAGTCGAATCGTACACTAGGTATAAATACTGGTTCCACTGCCAGAGGCCCCATAGACTGCCCAGGACTCCTAACTGATACCCATGTTCAGGGATCCTGGTTCGGTCCTATGCTGGTTTCCCAGCTATCAGTCTGGGGTCCATGAGCTCTCTCTTGCTCAGGTCAGCTATTTTTTTTAAGATCAAGAGAACACTAATCATTATTCTAGGAGGTACCACTGTTGAGCTAACTTTTATTATTAACCCTGAATGTTATGCCATCTAATGACATTTTAAACTGCTGCATGAACTCTATTGTGTCGACACTAAATACAGTGAACGGCAGCCTTCACGTGCTGTCACTCAGCAGAACAAACAATAAACAGCAATGCTTTCTACCCACTGCACAGTAAGGCAGTCTTCAGACCTCTAAAGCCACACGGGCAAAAACGGTGACAGCAGTTCCCTACTCGGAAAAAACACTAAGTGGCTGGAAATGTCTAAAAACCGGTATACTCCAAGGACACACATGAGGGCTGGGGTGTAAGAATGCTCTCTGAGCTGGTGACTCAACTCCCTTGTCAAGCATAACTAAAGGTTCCGTGTTCCCCTTGGTGAACCACGACCGGTCTGGACAAGGAGGCGCACACGCGGAAGCAGATCTCAGGCGGCTGAAGCGGGTCTTGCTCGTCTGGGGCCAGCCGGTGTTATGAGGCAAGATCCTGCTTCAAAGAACAAAAAGCAAGGGGTGACTGGGCTAGGGAGAGGGCTCAGCGGTCGAGGTGCCGGCTGCCAAGCCTGAGGAGCTGAGTTTGATCCCTGCGAGCCTCATGAAGAAGCTCTAAGTTGTCCCAGCCTCAACACGTGTGCTATGTATGACACACACATGCATGTTCATATACTCACATTGAATAAAGTTTAATAAAATATTTGATATAAATGGTAACCATGTTAAGCCTGACTTCCCTCTTTTCACTGTTCAGGGACCGATGAGCACCTAAACACACCAGTTAACCAAGTTACGTGACAGCAATGTTAGGACAACAGGCCAGCCTGCCATCTGGCACTGTTGGGGAGAAACCCTGTCATCCACCAACCTTACGCTGTGTTCTATTCTAGTCTCTAAGCCAGTGGTCCTCAACCTTCCTAATGCCTCGACCCTTTAATACAGGTCCTCATGTGCTGACCCCCAGCACAACATACAATTATGCTCATTGCTATCCCTAGCTGGAACTTTGCTAGCTACTAACTGCAATGGAAGTATCTGCTGTGCAGGGTATCTGCTATGTGACCCCTAGGTGGGAACTGCTACTCTCAGGCAAGGTTGAAAAGGCAGGCTGGGGAGGTGTTATGGCCCAGTTATGGTTCAAAGTCAGTGTCAGAATGCACCCCTGATATTCAGGGTCTTTACCGAGGTCATCAAATTAAGGTAAGTTGTCGGGGTAGACTATGATCCACTGCGGTTTCTTTCGCGAAAGGAAGACTGCCACATGAGCACGAAGACAGAGAGGACGGGTGCTTTGGAAGGAGGACTCCCGCCACCAGCCCGATCACTCCCCGGGGCCATTCGGAAGGAGGACTCCCGCCACCAGCCCGATCACTCCCCGGGGCCATTCGGAAGGAGGACTCCCGCCACCAGCCCGATCACTCCCCGGGGCCATTCGGAAGGAGGACTCCCGCCACCGGCCCGACCGTTCCCCGGGATCACTCGGAAGGAGGACTCCCGCCACCGGCCCCATCGCTCCCCGGGATCACTCGGAAGGAGGACTCCCGCCACCGGCCCCATCGCTCCCCGGGGTCATTCCTCCCCAGCTGGGCTTGCCTCTTAAACTCTCCTCATGGCTACTCTCCCCACAGTCTCCTCAGATTCCAGGAGAAGGATTCATTTGTAAACACCGTGACAAGGGACGCAAACTACCCACAAGCAAGCCTAGGCCCAGCAGGCAGACTGCCCAACAGAGGCTGTCACCTCAAGGCAAGGCTGTCTCCTGGGCAGACGGGACCATCTCACGAGAACCAGACTCTCGGATGACAGTAACGACTTCTTTGAGCCACCCTGATCAAAGACCAACCAGACCTCAGTCTTGAGCAAGACAGCTTCATTATGTAAAATCTCTTGCCATCTCCCCACCCCAGTTCCTTCGGTGATGAGTCGTGAACTCTAAAGACACGGCTGGGGTCACCAGACCTTCTGCTCCTCCTAGCGCAGTAAGCAAACCCCTCACCCAACACCACTTTAAACATTAGGGTGGGATGGGTGGCCAACCCGGTCCTTTGTGACTCCCAGAGACGACACTTTTGCCCTAAAACTGCTCACACTTCAAATAGCCAAGAAGTTCTTGGCTGCCACCAGCGTGCCCAGGGAGGCTCCCTCTGGGTGGCCGACATGCTCATCTCCCTGCCATCCTCCACGCTGCGTTAGGCAGCCCTCGCAAGCTATAGCTCGGCTTCAGGGCCTCCTTCAGTGGTAAGAAACAGTCCCTGCAGCTTTGTAACTGGTACCGTGGCTGCGCTCACTGCTTCTACACATCTCTGCCGTCACAGGGAGATGAATTTGGTCCAATGTGAGCTCTCTGAACACATCACATCAAAGGCAAGGGAGCACTCCAGTAACAGCCCCATGTGCCCCCAGCAGCTGCAGCGTGAAGGGAAAGGGCAGACTCACAGTGCGCATGCTTGTGGTGGGGCCTCCACTGGTTTGATCAGAATTCACTCCTCTACCCAGTTAGTCCCAGCCACAGGCAGCAGAACTCAG